GTTGTCTTGGGATCGAGCCCCTTGGGGGCTCTGTGCTGAGCACGAGGCCTACTTTGGATTCTCTCTCTCCTTCTGCCCCTCCCACCTGCCCCCCCCCTTGCAAGTGCACATTCTCTTTCTCTCTCTCTAAAAAAGTGAAAACAGGAGCACCTGGGTGGCTCAGTTGGTTAAGCATCTGACTCTTGGTTTCAGCTGAGGTCATGATCTCAGGGTCCTGGGATCAAGCCCCGTGTCAGGCTCTGCGCTCAGTGGGGAGTCTGTTGAGGATTCTCTCTCTCCTTCTCCCTCTGCCCCTCCCCCCCACTCTCTCTCTCTAAAATAAATAAATATTTAAAAATAAATAAATGAATAATAAATGTGTAGGAAACATGAAATCAAGACAATAAGGATATTTGAAAGGTGCCTCCTTTTCCTCAGCCACACTTTCTCCTGTGTGGTCCCCACGAAATTGTGTGATCTTGTAGAAGGCAGATCACATCTGAAATTCCTCGTCTCTAAAGTCAGGGTGGAAGAAGCAATGAGCCCCGAGGTCCCTTCCAGTCTTCCCTGGTCTACCCAAGCTTCACCCTTTTATCCCAGCACCCAAACGGGGAACCAAGCCAGAACCAGCGGACTCCAAGGTCATCTGACCACAAGAAGCTTATAATCAAGTTGGGGAATAAAACAGATGCTGTTCCTTCAGCCAGTGGTGTGTGCATCTGTGTGTCACATGGTACTTGATGCTGGGTGGGGACAGAGTGGCCCACGGGACCGCTTTCCTCGTGGGTTTTTATGGCTCCGTGGAGAAGACACTGAAAAACAGGAGTCACAATGAACTCCGATGAGTGTTAAATAAGACAGAATCCCAGACGTATACAGGAGGGGTGCTGATTACAGATGCAGAGTCCTGGGCCCTACCCAAACCCTAGGAATCAAAATCTTCTCAGAAGCACCCCTTAAATTTTTTTAATTAGCGATCTTCATCAGGCAAGTTCAGAAAACACGGTGATCGGGAGTGCACAGGACAATATGCGAACTCATCCCTACAGGAAATCATTAGCAACAGGCGGTCTAAGGTGAAGTATGTCCTGGAGAACTGGGTGTAAGCAGTTAAGAGTATGCACTCTGGAGTCTCACCAACAGGTTCACATCCGAGCATCACTACCAAGAATGGAAATAATCATAATAATAATGTCTTAGGATCGTCGTGAGGATTAAGGGAGATAATCCTGTGATATTAATGCATAGAGAGCGCACAGTTATAGAACCAGGAGGCGAATCATGAATTATAAGAGGTTGTCTACAATGGGTCCCACCTGGAATAATGTAATAAATAAGTAATTATCAAAAAAAAAAAAAAAGTAGTTCCGTGTCTTCTGTAAAAAGCAAAATAAGCAGTGGGTAGGGGAAAATCCAGACCATGTGTAATCAACAGGGAAGTCTTTCACATAAGAGATGGTATTTGTGGGCGCCTGGGTGGCTCAGATGGTTGGGCGTCTGCCTTCGGCTCAGGTCATGATCCCAGGGTCCTGGGTTCGAGCCCCGCATCGGGCTCTCTGCTCCTTGGGAGCCTGCTTCTCCCTCTGCCTCTCTCTCTCTATCTGTCTCTCATGAATAAATAAATAAAACCTTAAAAAAAAAAAGAGAGATGGTATTTGTACTGATCCAAGAGCGCAGACATGATTTAAAAGCAGGACTGAGTGAGAAGGAAATGCAAAGAAAGCAAAGGCTCGGGGCTGCTCACAGTTTGTAGGAAGGCAAGGCCTGTCACTGACTAGCTATACACTTCTGGGTAGGTTAGTCAGTTATCGTGGGCCTAAGTTTATTTCCCTGTGACACTGTGGGGTTTTGTGAATTATAGTCACAGTTTTATGTATATTCGGTATTGCCTCATCTTCAGAGTCTGCTCTAATTTAAAAATTCTGAGGAGAACTGCAATACACAGAGTGTCCACGAGGTGGCAGCACGTGGCTTTGTAGATGGAGGTCTTCCTTAAGGGACCTATGATGTAACCCTGTAATAATCAAACAAGCACGTATCCAAGTCTCTCCGGAAAACACAGACAGAAGACATTAACAATCCTCATACTGAGCTCAGTGTTGAGATTTATAATTTAAAGAGAAAGCAGATGTTTTTAATCCCTTTGTTTTAGGGGTGCCTGGGTGGCTCAGTTGGTTGAGTGTCTGACTCTTGATTTCGGCTCAGATCATGATCTCAGCCCATCGGGCTCTGGGCTGAGTGGGGAGTCTGCTTGAGATCCTCTCCCTCTCCCTCTGCCCCTCCACTTGCACTCTCTCTCCCCGTCTCAAATAAATAAATAAATAATCCCTTTGTTTTAGACCCATAGGTGGTAAAGGGTTATTGTTGGACATTTTGTTTTAACCCTTTATGGCCAGGGTGGCTTCCTTCATAACAGTGAACTAAACACAGACTTATTTGTATGGGGTCCAATTCTGATTTGAACCCAAAGACCCTTACCCTCAGTAAAGCGTACCAAGTCAATAATTTGTAAATGTTTTATTTTTTTTAAGATTTTATTTATTAATTTGAGAGAGAGAGCATGAGTGAGGGGAGGGGTGGGGGAGAGGGGAAGGAGACACCCCGCTGAGCAGAGGCCCAATGTGGGGCTCGATCCCAGGACCCTGGGACCATGACCTGAGCCAAAGGCAGATGCTTAACTGACTGAGCCACCCAGGTGTCCCTTGTAAATGTTTTCATCATAAAGAGCCTACATATCCCACCATACACCTCCAATAAAAAGGAAAAGGAGAAAAGTTCTATTTCCTTTTCAGATATTTTTTTTAAATGGTGTCAACAGTATCATTTTTTATAGTTAAAGTAAACTCTCCTTATTTTTAAAGTTATGACTATTCAAAAAATTATAAGGAAGAAAATGAAAATCATCTTCAAGCAATAACAATATGTTTCTGTCAAACTATTTTTGGTAGATAGAAAAGAAACACAGATGCGTCTACACACCTTTTCTAACTTAAAAATATTGTGGAATCTTTCCATGTTAATAAAAATATTATTATATTAATGATCAGTAGCATCCAATCGTTATGATCACTAGCAACATACTTTTACTGAAATGTCTGGCCTTTTCTGACAACACTATTCTTCATGAAGTCGACAGAAATAGCGCCGTGGAAATATGGGTAATAATCAGAGAGGGACCGATGCAGACAAAATAAGGAAGACAACAGAACGTAACAGAACTAACAAATGAGCTGATGAAAAATACATTTCAGAAAAATTTGGCTGGAAGCAGATTAGTCCAACAAACACTGAGGCAATGACCTGAAAACAGTAAAGGAATATATGATCTCTCCAAAGCAAGAGCTCAAGGAAGGGAGCAAAAGGAAATCTTTAAGGCAAGCTGAGTATTTTTTAGAAGTCAATGACTTTGCTGTGTCAGGCTCAGCCAGACATGATGGAAGACAGGGAAAAGTCAGGGAGGCAGAGCCACAGAACAGCTTTTCTTAAGAATCCAGGAAATAGGGAAATCTATCGAGACACAAAGTAGATTACTGTTTGCTTAGAGCCAGGACGGAGATACAGATAGAGATAGAGGGATGGAGTCGAATGCTTTAGGATATGGGGTTTCTTTTCAAGGTGATGAAAATGTTCCTAAGTTGACTGTGGTGATGACCGCATATATAGGTAAGTATACCCAATACCATGGAAATGTACACTTTAAATAGTTGAATTGTATGGTCTGTGAATTATATCTCAAAGCTGTTTGTAAAAAAAAAAAAAAAAGAAGGAGGGAGAGGGGGCACCTGGGTGGTCCAGTCAATTGAGTGCCCGACTCTTGGTTTCGAATCAGGTCATGATCTCAAGGTCATGAGATCAAGCCCCGCGTCAGGCTTTGCACTCAGCGTGGAGTCTACTTCAGATTGTTTCTCCCTCTCCCTCCCACTCACTCTCTCTTTCTCTCTCTCTCCCTCTCAAATAAGTAAATAAAATCTAAAAAAAAATAAAAATAATAATAAAATTTAAAAAGGAGGGGGAGAAGCCAGGTAAAAGGTGCTCCACCAAGTCCCAAGCCCAGGCAAGAACATGAGATTCACACTCAAGAGCAATCCAAGATGAGGTTTGCCAGGGGTTGATGTAATCAATTCTTCACTTTTCTTTTTAAGATTTTATTTATTTGAGAGAGTGAGTGAATGAGAGAGAGAGAGAGAGAGAGCATAAGCAGGGGGAGGGGTAGAGGGAGGATTTCCGCTGAGCAGGGTGCCCAATGTGGGACTCGATCCCAGGACTCTGAGGTCATGACCTGAGCCGAAGGCAGACGCTTAACCGACTGAGCCACCCATGTGCCCAATGTAATTAATTCTTGTATCATAAAAATCTTCTTATCTCCAGAATGTCCACCAAGAGACTGCTCTTCTCTTAGGCCAAGCAACTGCATGTCCATCAAAAACATGTATTTCTTAAAGGCAAGGGCAGTAAGAAAAATGTTCAAGTTTTTACTGGTTAAAAAAATTCCATGGGTTTCAGTTTGACATAGACTAATATCACGAACAAGGCCATAGTATCAGTTTTTAAAACATGCAAATCAATAGAATCCACAATATACCGTATGCTAAGAGAGTTATACTGAATTCACACTCCACGAGAGGAACCCCGCTCTCTGGGGTGGACGGCGCAGGCCGGGACTCACGGTGAACCCCCCACGAGAGGAACCCCGCTCTCTGGGGTGGACGGCGCAGGCCGGGACTCACGGTGAACCCCCCACGAGAGGAACCCCGCTCTCTGAGGTGGACGGCGCAGGCCAGGACTCACGGTGAACCCCCCATGAGAGGAACCCCGCTCTCTGGGGTGGACGGCGCAGGCCTGAACCCCCCACGAGAGGAACCCCGCTCTCTGAGGTGGACGGCGCAGGCCGGGACTCACGGTGAACCCCCCACGAGAGGAACCCCGCTCTCTGAGGTGGACGGCGCAGGCCGGGACTCACGGTGAACCCCCCACGAGAGGAACCCCGCTCTCTGAGGTGGACGGCGCAGGCCGGGACTCACAGTTTGCGATGTCACCTTGAAGCTGCAGAATCTGAGGAACTGGCATTGTGAGGACAACAATGTCAAACAGCTCGGGGGGACCTGTTTCCTTGGAGACCTCCCACTTGTCATTTCGCAGGTTGATCTGGGTCACACAGTGTCTGAAGTAGACATCAGCACCTGTTCCAAAAGCAAAGTCATGTTCACCTAATCAGGATTTCCAATATGAATGAGGAGAAACAGAAGAGTCACACACGGAATCCATTCAGGCGAATTAAACAGTGAAGTCTCTCTTCTAGGGGTTCCCTTTCTCATTCTGTAGGAATTCCTCTCCTTCTGGCACCCTGGACCTCGGGATCGATGCCTGCCCCGGGGTACACAACCGTGTTGCTACAATCAATACTAGGAATCCCAGCTGTCTTTCATTGAGCAGCTACTATATGCCAAGACTATAATAAGTACTTGATATACATCGGATTAATTTCACAAACAAGGAAACAAATTCAGAAATGTCACTCCATGATGTAAAACTATATCCACCTGAATCTAAAGCTCATGACCTTTGTAGAGCAGGAATACACTTCAGTGAAGGTGTTAACAATTCTAGACAGAGCGAGAAGAGCCATATTCCCTGTTAAAGAAATTAAGATTCCCTCTTAAACCTGAAAAAGGGGTCTGTGAAAGAAATCCAAGCCCTCGTTGGTGGATCAATTACCTTTATTAAGAAGAACTGGAATTAGGAGAAATACAATCGAGAATGTCCTCATTGCATTTTTCTTCTTTATCACCAAAATATTTTAGTAATTACTTGAGTAGTTATTTGATTAATATTTTCTTCCCTATTAATCTGTGAGCCCACAGGGAAGGAACTATGCCTGTTTTGTTTCTGTGAATACCATATCGCATATACAGTAGAGTACTCGGCACATACTAGGTTTTAATAAGTACCTGTTGAAGAGAATGATTTAGGAACCATAAACCAAAAGATAAGAAAACATAACTGGATCACTTAAGTCTCCTTGGGACCAAGCACTTACCACACATTTCAATTTTCAGAAAACTTAATTTAAAAACAAATCTACTTTTATGCAGCCTCAGGAACAGAAAAGCAAGAAATAATAAAGAAGAAGACAAAAAAGCACGTTGGAAGATCCTGTTCATCATTACCGGGGACACCTCACGATCCTAGCCACTCAAAATCTGGCTTATGTCCACCCTGGGCCCTGAAGCTTCCTTCCTGTGGGTCCTCCAGCTCAGTGTGATCCTCCTCACCTATGAGGTCCCTCCACCACCATTCTAACATTGATTCAAAATATCTGCATGTTTCAGGTATGTCTTATCTACCCAAAAAACCCACTTCTTCCATGTCATGTCTCCAGACCTCAGACACCATCACTGTCCCTGGAATAATCCTGCGACAACACTGTAAACATTCACATTTTTTAAATCAAAGGCAAATATATTAGAAGGAACAAGGTGCAAACTAGGCCCAGGGGTCCATCTCTTTGAGGCCAACTAGCATCATTCTGTTCATAGATGAGAGCAAGGGCTAGTAAACAGCCTCCAACCTGCCTGAGGCTTTCCCTAAGGCCCCTGCTTGGGGAAGGTGCAGATAACTGGAGCTTTCAACTCCTACCCACTGTCTCCACTCCAGCCTGAACAGTTTCCCCTCACCTGGTTCTATTATTTAGAATGTCTTGCCCTGACCCGGTCAACTTACTCGCCTCATTCTGGTCCTGGCCCTGATCTGGACCTCTAGTAAGTCAAGTTATTTTACACCTTTTATTCTGTTGTGTTTTCACATAATATTCCCTTGGGAAAGAGCTTGCATGGTTATTGGTCATGGTGAGCAGGTGTGTGTGTTTCAGGGAACTGAAGTCTACTGACCTAGAAATTCTCCATACCCAGCCAAATGTCTTGGACATGTAACCCAATGGTCCCCAAATATTCTGCAAGGTGTATGTCAATGGTTCTCTTAAACGTGGACCCCAGACCAGCAGTACCAAAAGTACCTCGGAACCTGTTAGAAATGCACGTTCTGAGACCTAAGCCAGACCTACTGGATCAGCATCCCTGCGGCTCAGGCCGCTGTTCTGGGAAGTTGTTCTAGTTAAATATTGGCTTTAGAGATTTGAACGCATTCTAAAACATACATGATTAGACATATCCCACACAGATAATTTCCCTGGAAGGCGGGTCCAATCTAAACAACTACTGGTTTGTCCAACAGACTGCAGGGTTGTAAGCTTTATCGATTCCAAACTGTAGAGTATTTTTGGAATGACTTCACAATTTGGGTTCTTAAGCAAAGGTCAACTTCATTCAAGGAGATTATTTTTTAAACCAACATTTATCAAGAGGTTGCTCTGTACCTAGCCTATTATTTGCTTGGGTTGACAATGAATGCATTATATCCCTTAGTCCTCACGGTAACACTTTGTGGTGGGTACTGTTATTACTCTCATTTTTCCAATGAAAGAACCAGGGTATAGATTTTTAAACTTTCCTATTATTACATAGCTAGGAAGGGGTGGCAGAACATTAATTTCAGTCCAGGTCATTCTGATTCCAGAAACTCTCTCACTTATGTTGTGGAAACACTAAAACACCTTTGTGGACCATTCAGTGGAGAGAAAGCTTTACAGAAGTTTAAAGGATGTTTAAAAGGATACAACTGTAAAATTTAAAATAGTACAGATAAGGTCTATAAATTCTATAAGAACAGATCTGGGTAAAGAGGGGAAAAGACTCTTGAAGTATTACAAAAATAATATTAAAATAAAGAAAGAAATCATGTATATAGACTCAAATTATATAGACCTTGAACTCAATTATATAAAAATTCATTTTTTAAAAAAGCAGAAAGTAGGTCACAAAATGGACTTATTGTTGATGTCTATAGTGACATTTTTCTTGCTATCTTTCTGTATCTTCCAAACTTTCTACCAGTAGTATGTAATCTTTTTTAAAAATTACTTTTTGAAGTAAATAATATTTTACATAGTGATAAAAAATCTATAAAATCATTGTCTCAAGAGGCTGTACAAATTGAAAATATAAACAGGTTTTTACTAAGAATTGGTTAAATTAAAACTGATAGTCAACTGATATATATAACTATATTAAATATATTTAACTATATTAAATATATTTAACAACTCCAATATACATGTTACATATACATATATATATAGAATTAGATACAGAAATCTATATATCATGATACCTACCTGCGACGTACAGGGGTACTGTTAAATTTTATGTGAGCCACAAATAATTAAATATGACCTCTTTTCCCAAGAGCTTGTAAAGCAAAATTGGAAGATAAAACATATCTCCTCCCAAACACCTCCCAAAAGAAGGATGTAGGTACTCTGTATTCAAGGACTGTCCATCTGCCAGAACATCAGCTATGTAAGAGGGCAAGGACTTTGGTTCTTGTATCCTTAGCATCTAAAAGTGTCTGGCATATAGCAAGTACTCAGTAAGTGTTTACTGAATGGATGTGTGCAAGCATGGATGGATAGACATATAATACAGTTAGTAAATACTTGAGGATTTCAGTAAACATGCACATCCAAACTGGGTCAAATCATGATGGAAATGAGATTTTTAAATGTTATATGGAGGCAATCTATGAAGCTGATTGGTGACATTCTACAAAATATCCAAAGGTATCACATTCCGTAATGGTTAATTTTAAAAAATTAGTTTGGGTCATGGAGTGTCCAGATATTTGGCCAAACATTATTCTGGGTCTGCCTTTGAGTGTGATTTTGGATGACAGTAACATTTAAATTGGTAGACTAAGGCAGATTACCCTCCCTACCTAATGTAGATGGCTCTTATCCAGTCATTGGCTTGAATAAAACAAAAAGACTGACCCCCTCCCCCAAGAGTGAAGAATTCTTCTTGACTGACAGGCTTCAAACTGGGACAAGGGTTTTTTGGGTTTTTTTTCCCCTTGTATTCAGATTTGAATTCAAAAATTTTCTCTTCCTTTGTCTCCAACTTGCCAGTTCATCCTGCAGATCTTGACATTTGCCAACTTCCATAATCACATGAGCCAATTCTTTATAATAAATCATATATATATAAATATATCTTATTTTATATACACACACACACACACACACACACACACACATATATATACACACAAACACACATGTATCCTATTATACCTACCTCCTTTTGGCTCTGTTTCTCTGGAATATCCTGAGTAATACACCATTGTAGACTGAATTCTAGATGGAGAAATGGTCTAACCAGAGTGACATCTACTATGTTCCCATGCTGTATGTATATTCAATCTCACTGATGTCTCCCTTGCCTGCTATCAGGGATTCTTGGAGTTCTCATTGGCAAAAGTTGATGAAGAAAATCAAAACGGTAATTATTCTACAAATAGCTTTTGAAACAAAACGTCTTAGCACCTTTCGTCAGTGATCTGGAATTGCGCAATTTACTTAATTATGATTCATCAAGAAACTTACTTCTGTTTAAAAAAAACAAATTGTTGGGTGCCTGGGTGGCTCAGTTGGTTAAGCGTCTGCCTTCGGCTCAGGTCATAATCCCAGGGTCCCGGGATCGAGTCCTGCATCAGGCTCCCCGCTCAGGGGAGAGTCTGTTTCTCCCTCTACCCCTCAACCCGCCTTGTGCGTGCTCTTTCTCTCTCTCTCTCACACAAAAATAAAATCTTTAAAAAATAATTTCAAAAAATTTAAAAAATAAAAAAATAAATCATTTATCATCCAATATCATTTATCATCTTTTTAAAAAAGGTCATTTTCAAAACATTCAGAAACATATAAAGAAGAAATGAAAATCCTAATAGAAAATGGGCAAAGGTTATAAATAAGAAATTCACAGAAAAAAGATGGAAAGAGCTCGCTAAAAACATAAAGATGCATAAACTCACTCATAATTATGTAAATACAAATCAAAACACAAAAAGACACCAGCTTGAACCTATCACACTGGCAAAAATTAAAAATTTCCATAATATCAACATGTATAGAAAGAGATACTGTTTTTTAAAAAAAATTTTTTTAAAGATTTATTTATTTATTTCAGAGAGAGAAAGAGAAAGAACACAAGTGGGAGGGGCGGAGGGAGAGGGAGAAGCAGACTCCCCACTGAGCTCAGAGCCCAACTTGGGGCTCCATCTCACCACCCTGAGATCATGACCTGAGCCAAAACCAAGAGTCTGATGCTTAACCGACTGAGCCACCCAGGTGCCTCCTCATTCACTGTTGATGAGATGTTCTTTAAGAGGAATAGATGGCACCACCTAGTTTAATTAAAAATTCACAATACCATGACACAGCTACTGTCCTGTTAGAAATTGGTCCTATAGATATGCTTACAGAAGCGTGTCAGGATTAGATAGTGCAGCCATACTGGTATTAGCTAAAACCAAAACAACCCCTTACCCCCACCAACAACCTAAATATTTTCCAGAAAGCTAATGCTTACATATACAATGTATGTTTATTTATAAATAACGTAATACTGAACAGGCACTGAAAAGAACGAAGCATACTGAATTTGTTGTTATGAAAATAGACCTAAGATTTGACTCAGTCTATGATGATGTATTAGGCTTCTCAAGAGAAACAGAACGAATAGGAGGTAGACAGATAGAAAATGGGGAGGGGAGGACTGATTTATTATAAACAGATCAAACAAGTTGTCAGTTTATGAAAAATAATCCCATTTGTATACTTAAAAAGAATATATATACACATACATGAATAAATAAATAGAGGCAGTCGTGTAAATCAATAGATCCACAAACTTTTTTCTAGAGGCATACACTGAAAACTATTATTAGGGATTACTTTAGGAAAAGAAAATTAGCTATTGAGTGGTGAAGAGAACATCTATTTTATAACTTTCTTTATAGTATTAATATTTAATTATGTATACAACTTTTATCTTTAAGTGCCAATTTTAAAAGAAAGCAGAGAAAATCCTATCCCCACCTGATTCTTTCAAGTAATGCTTAATAATCGAAGAAACTCCTTGAGGTGCCACAAAGTTACAGTCTCCTTCTTTCATCACCATCCCTTCAATAGGAGAGGTCAGAGGCTTCAAAATGCCAAGAGCTAACAGGTCATCATAAAAACTGAAATAAATCAATATATATGATATAATTATATACCGCAGTTAGCTTAAAAACACTGTATTCTCTTCCAAGAATTCTTAGAGATTATCATTCTAAATAACTAGAAGTCTTCATATGATCAACTCAATGTATGTTTCGTGTTAATAAAACATAATTCAGTAGAGCACGCGACTCTTGATCTCGGGGTCCTGAGTTCAAGCCCCCGGTGGGGCCTAGAGCGTACTTCAAAAAAATTAATAAACCATAATTCAGGTGAAGAACAGAAACCTTTTGAGAATCCATAAATCTTCTGCTGACATTAGCTGAAGGCCTATTTTCTTGTATCTCTCAAAATTAAAGGTCAGTGAAGATAGAAAGGTATGCAGTCCCCCCATTTTGAATTTGGTGAAGACTGACTAGTTGTCCTCTTCCTCAACACAACACAGTAATTCATATTTAAATTGAGCCCTCAGGATGTAGCATCTCATGTGATCTTCAGAACCACACCAGGCAGTAGGACTCGCTCCCTCTTACTCATCAACAATGATATTATTTATATCTTCACTATATTACAAGAAGCAAAGTGTCACCCTGTTAAAACTGGATGATTTCTACCTTTTTACATCCTACAGTCACGAAGAATGATTCCGCCCCTTTCAACTAACTCACCTTTGGTGTTGTTTGGCATAATGAGGTGTGCAGGTGATGTACTGGGCACCCAAGTCAACTGTGCTCTGTGGATTGTAGGGACTCCTGGCTGTAGTCATTCTTCCCCCTTGGATTCATTCACAAGAAACATCTTAGTGCATCAGAATGAAACCTTCTGCAATTCACGCCTCAATTATTCACCTCAGGTCAGGCCAAATGGATTAAGGCTGTATTTTTTAAAAAAGGACTTTGTTGTGCTTTTCTGGTTTAGTTTTGGGCTTTGTCCTCTACCACTGCCAGGAAGTAGTTCACAGAGACAATTCGGTCACTGTGACGTATTTTTAAAGAGGACGCATGAAGAGCGCAGCAGTGTTCAGCGCTGTGCCTGGCCTCTGGAGTCACACATTTAAACAAAAGCAATGGGGGCATGGATAACATAAAACGAAATAATGCCAAGAAATGTCAGAATGAATCACTCTTGCAATCGGGTTTCCTGAGAAAAAGAGGAGTCTGTAAACTAGATCTTCGTCCTGGTCAAAGGGCACTTTGGGATCCTCCCGATGCGCAGAAGGCAGTGAAGGCACGGCCAGGCCAAGATCAAAGCCCGCTGACCAGCGGTGGTGGCGGGAGGCCCAAGCTGGACAAACTGCCAGAGCTCTTCGCCAGCGCTGAGCGGCCCTGGCGGGGGAGGGGGGGCGCTCCTCCCGCTCCTCCTCCCTGACCCGCGCGGGGCTCCTCCCGCTCCCCGCCCCCCCATCCCCACTCCTCCTGCCCAGGGCTCCTCCTGCTCCCCCGGAACTTCATCCGAGCTCCCTCTCCTCCTGCCCTCCTCCTCCTACCCAGGGCTCCTCCCTCCTCCCTAACCCCAAGCAGGGCTCCTCCCGCTCCCCGCCCACACCCCCCCCCCCCACTCCACTTGCCTGGGCCTCTTCCCTCCTCCTGCTCCTGACCCCGCGCAGGGATCTTCCCACTCCCCCTGCCCCCCTCCTCCTGCCCGGGGCTCCTCCCTGACCCCGCGCGAGGCTCCTCCCGCTCCCCGCCCACCACCCCCACTCCTCTTGCCTGGGTCTCCTCCCTCCTCCCGCTCCTGACCCCGCGTGGGGATCTTCCCACACCCCCTGCGCCCCCCATTCTCCTACCCGGGGCTCCTCCCGCTCCTCCCGGACCCTGATCCGGGGTCCCTCTCCCACTGCCCCCCTCCTCCTACCCGGGGCTCCTCCCTCCTCCCTGACCCCGCGCGGGGCTCCTCCGCTCCCCCGCCACTCCTGCCCGGGGCTCCTCCCGCTCCTCCCGGATCCTGACCCGGGGTCCCTCTCCCCCTGCGCCCCCCCCCTTCTCCTACCCGGGGCTCCTCCCGCTCCTCCCGGACCCTGACCCGGGGTCCCTCTCCCCCTGCCACCCCCCTCCTACCCGGGGCTCCTCCCCCTTCCCGCCCACCCACCCACCCCGACTCCTCTTGCCCGGGCCTCCACCCTCCTCCCGCTCCTGACCCCGCGCGGGGATCTTCCCACACCCCCTGCGCCCCGCCTTCTCCTGCCCGGGGCTCCTCCCGCTCCTCCCTCCCTGCCCCCCGGGGCTCCTCCCACCGCCCCGCTCCCCTCGCGGCGCCGGGGTCACCGCCCACTCCCGCCCGCCTCGGGCCTTTCCGGGGATCTGGAGGCTCCGGGCACGTGACCGGGCGCGCAACGCGCAGGTCGCCGCCGGGAGGTGTCGGCCGCGGTGGCTGGATTCTCCCACAGACCTCCCGGGGTGGGCCGCCCGCAGGCGCCGGCTTCCTTTTCCCGGTTTCGACCGCCCGACGACACACCTGAGTCCCCAGCCTCGTCCCACACCGCGAGGTGCACAGGACGGGGCGCCTCCTTCCTGAGCAGCGCTGCGCACAGGCTTCCCGTCAGCCCGGCGCCCACGATGAGCACCCGCGCCATGGCCCGGGGTCTCGCGGCGAGGCCGCGCCCCGCTCTCGGGCTCCGCGCTCCAGGTCCGCCCCGCCGGCGCGCAGCCCCGCCAGCCGGCCTGCAGGGGGCAGACGGGAGGCGAGCGGGCCGCGGTTAGGGGGGCGGGCCACGCCCGGGTGCTCCGGGGACCGTTGCCGCCCCTGGCCTCGCCGAGCCGCGCAGGGATGCAGGATGGAGCGTGGGAGGACCGGCCCCCACCCCCACCCCCACCCCCACCCCGGGCTGGAGCCGCTGAGGGCGTGACACCCCAGTCCGGCAGTGCGCGGGGAGGGCCCGCGCTCGCGAGGCGCGGAAGGCCGCTGCTCACCTCCTCCAGAAGCGCGTGCGGATGCCGGGGCGGTCCTTCTCAGACTGGCCCCGGGCTCTGTGGCTGTCCTGTAACCCTGAGCCTCAGTTTCTCCATCTGCGAAATGGGGACAGTAACGTCAGCGTGTCAGATTTGGGACGATTACGGTGGTTTGGTTCACGAGAGAACCTGAGATCACTCAGCTCTTCAGTAAATATTTCTAGGTCAGAACACATCCCAAATGCTCTGAGGGATATAAAGATGAGCAAGACAAGGATGCAGGCCATTCTCACTGTTTGGTTTCCCCCCAACATTGTCCTGGAAATTCTCAGTGAAACACAAAAAGCATTGATAAAGAATTCAGTTAACCCTAGATTGTAGATAAATTATCATCTGGAAGACTAGAGAAACTGGGTAGCTATGAGAAGTGCTAAGAAAGTTGACGATGGCAGCCAATGTAAACATCTAAAAATTAGTTTTACTTTATGTCCCCGTCATGAAGAAATTACCATGCATCAAATTGGTGATGGATCAATACTACATATATCTGATAAAAGACAAGAAAATTTAGATGAATTATAGCCTGTAAAAAGGCATAAAAATAAAAGATGGAGCTGAACAGAAAAACATTAAATACATAGTTATTTTCAACTTGTATGTTACAAAATGCCCAGGACAAAAAATAAATAGTGAGCAAACTGGAGTACAGTTTGATAATATATTTAAAGCCTAAAACTGTGTCCTTTAAATGAGACATATCAAGTCTGGACATTTATCTTGGGGAAATAATATATAGATAATACATTAAGATTTACATAAAAATGTACTTACCTCAATGTTATTAGAAACGTTGAAGTCTACAACCAACAGGGAATTTAGTTGATTTGATTATGGCTATCCAAACTTCTTAATGAAGCTACTAAGAAAATATGGCTTTAAAAGTTTAAGGATGTATAGAAAATTACTCACTCTATAATGCTGAAAAACTGGCTACAAAACTAGTAAAATCCCAGAGTTCTGTAACCATATGCAGAGACAAGTACATATGCAGTATAAGAAATTCAAGAGGAAACAGATGTATTTACCTTTTTCTATTAATTTCAAATGTTTTAGAAAGGCCATATATATCTACTAATTTATTTTTTATAAGCAAAATAAAGCTGGTATGCTAGACAAAAGAAGTTAATCAATCCCTGCCTTAAAGTTGTTTATAGTCTAAGAGATTTCACAACCACATTCTAAAAATCTCAGAATTGTCTGGAAAGGAGATTTGAGGTAATGTATTTCGACTGCCCCCTGCCACCAGCATTTTACATAATGTAAATATAGACACTAAGTTAAAGTGAGTGTGCCCAAGTTTACACAGTATCTCAAGGATAAGACCAGGGCAGGTCCTCCTGGATTGTTTTGAGTCTGTTCTGCTCATGTCCACAATCTCCTGCTTCCTCATTTCTTGTATAATCAGGCCTAAAACCTCATGGTCATCTTCAATAGCTTCTCTTTTCCCACTCTTGTTAACTATTAGTCCTCTGGTCTTTTTGGCCTCTTCTCCTCTGTCTCTTATATTCAATCCCATGCAATTCTACAGTAGTAAAATCCAGCTTTACTTTTTTTTTTGAGAGAAAGAGAGCATGGGTGGGGAGGGGCAGAGAGGGAGGGAGAGAGAATCTCAAGCAGACTCCATGCTGAGCTCGGAGTCCAACTCAGGGCTCAGTTTCATGACCCTGAGATTGTGACCTGAGCTGAAATCAAGAGTGGGACGCTTAACCGACTGAGCCGCCGAGGTGCCCCAGGCAGTCATTACTTCTTTTTTTTTTTTTAAAGATTTTATTTATTTATTTGACAGAGAGAGACAGCGAGAGCAGGAATACAAGCAGGGGGAGTGGGAGAGGGAGAAGCAGGCCTCCCGTTGAGCAGGGAGCCCGATGTGGGACTCGATCCCAGGACCCTGGGATCATGACCTGAGCCGAAGGCAGACGCTTAACGACTGAGCCACCCAGGCGCCCGGCAGTCATTACTTCTTAACTGAATTATTAGAATGACTTTCTACAGGCTCCCCATTCCTAATCTGTGTTCTCCACTGAGCTTCTGGATCGGTCACTACTACTCTCAGAAAACTTGCAGTGGCTCTCAGTTTCATACAGAACCAAGTTCAACTGCTTGGCATAAAAAGTGTTCAGTGATATTTTCCCATCCTATGTTTATATCTTATCTTGGTAATCTTCATATGTCCTGTGCTATAGCTAAATAGAATTATCATATGTTCCCCAAACATATCCTCAGATTTTCCACTTATCTGTGAAAGCAGTAAGCCTTTGCTTATGTGGTTCTTGAGTACAGAGCATACTTTTTTTTGACTTGTGTTTCCAGTAATTGTTCATTTGCATTAATTCTTCACTCTTCCTGTTCTGGTGTGATCAACAATATGTTCTTTAAAAAGTTATATAGAATTTGGGACTTTTATGACCACTGAATAGAGGTAGCCATGGTGGCTTGTGATTTCTCATTGGTCTTTAGGGACTGGTATAGCCACCCACCTTAGCCCCCAGCCCCAACCTCCAGAGTAGGTTATATTAGTCCAGAGCTATAACTGTAGGGTTGTAAGTCAATGGTTGGCTACTGATACTAGTGTATCTTTCTGAGAAATTTGAGAATTATTAGACAACTAAAGAAAGTAGGATTGCAAAATAGCTAGAACAGGTGTGTTTATATTTACTCTTCCTAGTCACCTTGACCTTTTCTCTTCGTTCTTTTTCCTCATCTTTGCAAGGCTATTTCTGCTCATTTAAGTCCCTCTTAAAAGTTATCTAAAGGAAGCCCTCTGTAACCTTTGACTTAAAATAACCACCCTGTGACTCTATTCCACTAACCTATTTAATTTTCTTCGTGTCACTTAATCACTTTTAGAAGTTATCTTGCTTTTTGCCTATTTATTTATTGTTTACTTAATAGAATTTAAGCACCAAGAGGGCAGAAACATTGTCATAGTCAATACAGTACCCATGGCAACTAGAAGCAAAGTTAGAATTGTCAGAAACGGAGCTCACTGTTTGCCTAGAAGGTATACAAACCTTTCAAGGATAATGCTTAAAGTAAGATAGCCCGAATGGTAATTCAGTGGGGCAGTTTCAGTATTGAAAATACTTTCTCAGAGAGTGCTTTTTTATGGTATAATATGACTGTAATAATATAAAATATCATGCGAGTTAGCAAAGGATGTCTATTTGTGTGATGCACGGCTCTGTCTGCTCTCACTAACTGTGTTATTGATAACTTCGATAATCATTGATGGCAAATCTAACAGTTTTTAGATGGCATAAAATCATGATGAATAGCTTCATTGGGTTATTTTAAGATCAGGAGTTTAAGAGATTTCAATAGAAGTCACTGAAACAAATTTAACAACAACAACAACAAAAAGGTGGACAATATTATTTGAAGACTTACCCTTGTATCTAGAAAATAATTTTACAGAATCAGGGAAAGAGAGCTTAGAATTGTACTTGGCCTGGGTGCCTGGGTGGCTCAGTTGGTTAAACGTTTGACTCGATCTCAGCTCAGGTCTTGAATTCACAGTTGTGAGTTCAAGCCCTGTGTGGAGCCTACTTAAGAAAAAAAATTGTATGTGGCCTTAAGTTCATTATGAGTTAACAGTATAATAGTGCTGTCAAGACAAAAAGTAAATATAAACCTAAGCTATGATAAATGAGTTACAGTGTGCAGAACAAGAGAGGTGATAGAGGTGATAGTTTCTTTCCCTAGATAGTCTATTTAGACTGGTCAGATCACATTTAGAATACTAGGTTCAGTGCTGGACCCCAGATTTTAAGAGGATCATTCAGAAATGGGTACCATTCCAAAGAAAAATGTCCAGGATGATAAGTGAACTTGAAATTATCTTACTTGAATAGGTAAGAGGGATAGAGATTTTTAGCCTGAAGAAAACTTCAGGAAAACATGAAAGCCATTTTCAAATATGTAAAAGACCTTAAGAGAGAAAAATAATGGGATACATCAGTATACTAAAATCAATTGATGGGAATTATAAAGTAGATTCTGGCTTAACTCAAAGAAGATACTTAAAGAATAATTTTAAGTAGATACATCTAAAAATGGAACATATTTCCTCATGAAGTAGCTCTCCAACTGGGACGCCTTCAAACAAAACCTTGATGAGCACAATGGAGGATATTGCAAAAGGAATTGAAGTACTGGATAGGAGAGTAGTCCTCAAATGGAATATGTGTAAGTAAATGAAGATGTTCTAAATGGTAGACAGTTATAATTTTAAGGAAGTCAATTTCCACATTCTCAACTGCTGAAAGTACTTTTTACTAATATGCAAAAGCCTCTGCGGTCAAGCAGATTCTCCTTCCCTACCTTTCCTTTCACAATTGCTCTTTACTAGCTTTATAAAAGAAATCTCAAGATTCACCACCACTGTGAAACATTAGAGTATTCTAAATTTAACTATATATTTACCTTACCAGTTTTAGAGTTTCACATAATTTCCTGTTATTTATTATCATCCTTTCATTTTAGCTTAAAGAAGTCCCTTTAATGTTTATTTATTTATTTATTTTTAAAGATTTTATTTATTTCTTTGAGAGAGAGAATGAGATAGAGAGAGAGAGCATGACGGGGGGAGGGTCAGAGGGAGAAGCAGACTCCCCGCCGAGCAGGGAGCCCGATGCGGGACTCAATCCCGGGACTCCAGGATCATGACCTGAGCTGAAGGCAGTTGCTTAACCAACTGAGCCACCCAGGCGCCCCCCTTTAATGTTTATTATAAGGCTCACCTAGTACTGGTGATAAACTCCTTCAGCTTTTACTTGTCTGAAAAACTATCTTCCATTCAATTTTAAAGGGCAAC